TAACCATGGTAAAAAAAGAAATGTAGTTTGGCGTAAACACCAGGTGTCGATAAGTTTTTTCCTTCAATTGGAGCAATGGTAAAGTTGTCTCCGTTTGACCTATAGGTCACCAGTTCAAGCCATGGAGTTTGGTGTAAACACCAGGTGCCGGTAAGTTTTTTCCTTCAAACAGTTCTAGATAAGAAGGCAAGCCTTGGAGCAACGGTAAAGTTGTCTCTGTTTGACCTATAGGTCACCGGTTCAAGCCATGGGATCAACCACTTATGCTTGTGTCAAGATAGTCTGCCTACATCATACCCTTTTGTAGCATGACCCTTCCCCGAACCCTGCATGAACATGGGATGCTTCGTGCACTGGATTGCACTTGTTTAGTCCCTCTATAATGTCTCTAATTTGCTTCTATTTATGATCCTAGATATTTGCGAGTCCGACATACGAGTTCTTGGATACCAAGTATGGAGTTAAAGGAAGTGCACTGGCTTGTAAAAACTTGGCCTTCAGAATCATTGTTAGAGGTGGTTATATAGCCATTACAGCTTTTCTGTCTGCTCTTTTGCCTTTTTTGGGAGACTTCATGAACCTTACTGGGGCTATCAGTACATTTCCACTCACATTTATACTTCCAAATCACATGTACATTGTTGCTAAGAGAAGAAAGTTGTCATTTTTAAAGAAGAGTTGGCATTGGCTCAATATTATTTTCTTTAGTTGCATAGCAGTTGCTGCATTTGTAGCTGCATTGAGGTTCATCACAGTAGATTCCAAAACATACCATGTATTTGCTGACTTATAATTTTATTTTTTTCACTATTTGAGTGATAATTTACCCATCTTTTGGGGGGTCATTTATATGTAAATGTTAAATTATTCAGTTGTAATAAAGTGTCCTCTTGATTTTTTTACTCAGACAAAGGTGTACAAATATGTATATATTGATATGTGAAATAGCATTTGACTACTATTGAGTATTGTGATTTCTCCCTGTATTGTGTTTTAAGTACAAGCTTTAAGCCTCATGACTTGATTCCATTGAGTAATTGCAGTGAATTTCACGGTGCACAAAGCATCTTGCATTTATGCATACAAATAAAAACTGACTTTATATTGTGTTTAAATATTTAGTTTGAACAGACAAGTATAATTTACTACTAATAAGTTTAGGGAATGGTTGATATATTTTGATTTACATCACACAACCATGCTAAGAAATTTGGATCTTCACACAAATAATCTATCGAATTCACTATTAGTTTTTTTTAGTCTGTTCATAAATTATGCTTGATGATACATAATTATATATGTATTATACACATTATCAATTCACAAATTCTTAATATAAGCGGTTGGATGGATGGGTTCTTCTTAAAAAGGGTATTTAATTGCACGATTTGTCCTTTAAATAGGTTGATTTGTAATTTTTGTCGTTAGAACTCGAACTTATACCTATCAAACATAAATTCTTTAAAGACGCAAATCATAACTTGTGGAATCTTATGATATGAAATATAAATTTGTATCCTGTAAAAAAGATATTTCTAGACATAAATTCTTTAAAGACGCAAATCATAACTTGTGGGATATTATGATATGAAATATATATTCGTATCCTGTAAAAAAGATATTTCTCTGGAGCGACAAAAGTGCAAATGAGTTAGATTCCTCCTTCTTCTCAATCCGGCCCAAAACAGAAGCCCAATGAATTAAGCAACTGGGCCTCAAGCCCATCTCTTATTCGCTAAATATATAAATTTCTCTCTTCTCCCTCAGCAATTAGGGTTTTAGGCTTCTCCATTAGAAGGGATTTTCTTTAGTTTGCAGCTTCAAAGTTGAAAATGGTGAAGGGACGCCAAGGAGAGCGTGTGAGGTATTGAATCATCTTCATTTACAATTCCATTTTCTTAAAATTCGCTTATAGAATCACATTTTCACTACTTTTTTTTGCCTTTTTCTTTATCCAGACTCTATACCAGAGGAACAGTTCTCGGATACAAGAGGTAACGTAACGAATTTACTGTTATCATCTAATTTTAACTTGAAGTATTGAGTTTGCAGCTGATTGATTGATGGAATGTTGATTTGTGAATTAGGTCGAAGTCGAATCAGTATCCGAATACTTCATTGGTTCAGATCGAGGGAGTGAACACTAAGGAGGAAGTAGATTGGTACTTGGGGAAACGTATGGCTTATGTATACAAGGCAAAAACAAAGAAGAATAACTCACATTATCGCTGTATTTGGGGAAAAGTTTGCAGGCCTCATGGAAACAGTGGTGTTGTTAGAGCTAAGTTCAAGTCCAATTTGCCACCAAAGTCCATGGTACATTTCGACTACTATTATTTGTAATTGAATTTATTTGCTTATGAAGGAGAGTATATATGGTGATTTGTATTTATTATTGTGTTTCACTTTTGCAGGGAGCTAAGGTTAGAGTTTTCATGTACCCAAGCAACATATAAGGTACTATATTTTATTTAAATTTTTGATATGTTGACCAAAAAAAATAATGTTTTTTTGATATGTTATGGTCTATACTCTATAGTGATTAATGTGTTATGTTGGGTAGAAGGTTAGTATGTAGTCGAGTGCTTTGGCTTACCTTTCTCAGAGTATTAGTTTTAGTCTTGTGTAGTTATTAATAATATTTTTCTACATTTGCTTAAATTGTCCTGTTATAGGACATAGATTAATGAATAAAGGATCGAGTTTATGGGGATGGAAAAACTGTTTAAGCTGGTTTAATTTTTTTGTGAAGTTGCATACTTTAGGATTGCCTCTTACCATTAGATAATATTGTATTAATACAATGTGTTTCGTACCTGTTAAATTGAGAGTTCATTCATTAACACACCTAGCTGGTGTCATCAAACCCGACGACGCCTCAAATTCTAACCCCAAAAACCTTATTTTGACTGCGCTTACCCTAATTAGTATTTACTCAGTGTGTGGGGTACTAAACTACAGATAACACTCATGCTATGCCAAACATTTACTGTACTTCCCTTTTTTCTCCTTACAAGTTACGCCTATAAAGTGCATGAACAGAAGATCGCTTGATCCTTCTTGTGTTCCTTTGGAATAATCTCCTATTTTTTTCGTTCCACATTAACCAAAAATTACATAGAGGCTCATCATTGTAGCGTCTCTTTGTAGCCTTTAAAGCAAACATCGATTACCTCTGTTTACCTGTGTCCATTCAGAAATTATGAGAAATCAGGAGGCAAAGACAGAAAGATGGTTATCTTTGCTGTTTCGGATTAACTGGTCTTTAATGTCATACGTTTCAACAAAATATTGTACAGACTTCCATCCCCTCACGTAGCACACAAGAAAATATGCACAGAAGCTTTAAGCAGATAATCACCTGTGAATATTCTGTCTGGACAGTGTGGAAAAGGGATGGAAGGTGTTCTAGAGCTGTTTTTGAATTGCTATAGTTGTAGATTTGATATGACATTGAAATTGCTTTCACCATTATCCTGCTAGCGCATGTAGTACTTAACCTGTGCACTGGAAAATTGTTTTTGAAGGATACCCTTTATAGTGATAATGAAGCTATGATTATCAGATCCTAAATGTTTCAAAATGTCCCGCGATTGCCATGTGACGTTTCCGTAGAAACAGACTGTTAACATGATGTTACATTGTTGTTATTGCTATTTACAATTCTCTTCCTGTATTCCTACCCGTTGACACTTTTTTGAAGTAATCTGATTGTGTATGTTTACTCTTGCAGCAAGGTACCAAGTTGATGCATGCTTGGACGCCCTACATTTGTCTATCATTAGTTATGAAGGATTTGAATCTTTAATAGTAGTTGGACATAACTTGTTTTGGGCTATGTGGAGTTACATTTTTAGTCTCTATTTGTACTGGGAAACACCAATGAGTGAAACATCTGATTAGATGTCGTCTAATTTTGTTCTTGGAGTTTCTACATACAATCATTTAGTTCTCTTTGCTCTTCAATCTTGATATGTCCAGCAAGTTTCTTAATTTGCCTTTTTGCAAGGGAATGGTTTCCTCGGTTTAATTGTTATGGTTTCGTTAGTTCCAGAACGTTTTAAAAGAGTTTTCAGTGCGATAATTGTACCAAAACATTCCAAGTGTCTTAAGAGGTTCATCAGGAGCTAACTTGCTGTTGCAACATACGTGATGACCTTATTTCATCCTTCAAACATGTAGAATTTCTTTTGCCTTTCTTTACTATATATTCCTTTTTTCGTACTTGTTTTATAATGTTTTACTTAAGTCGAGAATCTAGCGAAAATAAGCTTTATACCTTTTCATGTGTGGAATTAAACTGGCTAGGTTTTCTTTGCCTGAAAAGCCATATGACTAGAACCATTTTTTCTTCTTCATTGAAGAAATGGTAAGGGAGACAGTAACTGAGAGTATTATTACTTTATAGTGGAGTAGACGTAAAAAAGAATTCATCAAATCTGAAAAAATTCTTTCTCAGGAAGGTTTCGCCTTTATTAGACCAACGAAAGAATGGAAAGATAAAAAGCTTTGTAGTGTGGGACGATTAGACCAACGAAAGAATGGAAATATAAAAAGCTTAGAGAAATAACAGTTTTGCTATGAAAGTTGCATATGATTAAGTAACTAGGGGCAACATATAAACTTTAGTGCTTCAAATCATACACAAATCAGAATAACTTTATTACATGATACACAATTAGATGTGCATTTTACACCATGAAGAAGATAATGACTCAATTTTAAAAAGTAAAATTATTTGGACACATGTCCCTTATTCGTTGGTAAAAAATATACGGAGATCATGTGAGCAAAATGGTGCTTCGAATCGGTAAATTATGTATTCTATACAACTAATCGATTGAATTCAATGTTTACTTTTTCTTGATCATATCTATTATTTCTTTCGTTTCAATTTATTTGTTTGGGTCTTAAACTAACAAAAAACCTGACCTCCTTCTTGTCAAGTCGGCCCAAATTAGTCAAGCCCAAAAAATTATATATCTGGGCCACAAGCCCATTCCTCATTCGCTAAATACCAGCAGTCTAGGGTTTTAATCTTCTTCTTCAGTTTACAGCTCCAGAGTCGAAAATGGTGAAGGGACGCCAAGGAGAGCGTGTAAGGTACTGAATCATCTTCATTTACAATCTCATTTTCAAAAAAATTGCTAATAAAAATCACATTTTCACTACTTTTTTTCTTCTTTCTTCATCCAGACTCTATACTAGAGGAACAGTCCTTGGATACAAGAGGTAGCGTAACTTATTTATCGTCATTATCTAATTTTAAACTGAAATGGTTCTGAATAGAGCTGAACGAATATAAGGAAATTGAATTTGCCGCTGATTGATTGAATTTGAATTTGTGTATTAGGTCGAAGTCGAATCAGTATCCAAACACTTCATTGGTGCAGATCGAGGGAGTGAACACTAAGGAAGAAGTAGATTGGTACTTGGGGAAGCGTATGGCTTATGTATACAAGGCGAAAACAAAGAAGAAAAACTCGCATTACCGCTGCATTTGGGGTAAAGTTTGTAGGCCTCATGGTAACAGTGGTGTCGTTAGAGCTAAATTCAAGTCCAATCTGCCACCAAAATCCATGGTACATTTCGATTAAGATAAACACTTGACTAATTGAATTTTGTTTGCTTGGTAAGGAGTAAGGACGGATATTATATGGTGTATTTGTATAGGAAAGTTTGTGAATTTATTTATTATCTTCCATTTTTGCAGGGAGCTAAGGTTAGAGTTTTCATGTACCCAAGCAATATATAAAGGTACTGTATTTTAGTTTAATTTTTTTTGTATGCTATGGTCTATAATTGTTAATTGGTTGCATGGATTGCGCTGCTTATATGACTTAGATTAATGAATAAAGGATTATTAGTTTGTGGTGATGGTGAAATAATGGTTTTATAATTGGTCGAAGTATTTGTAAGAGTTGCATACTTTTGAATTGACTCTCACCATAAGATGCTTGTTCAATGGGGTTGTTTGTTATGAGGAAATAGGGATAATATTCTCGTTTTTTTAGTGCGTGGTTAGGTTAGGGTTATTAGTTAGTCCTGTGAGTATTTATCCCACCAGCTATACTACAATGATTGGATAAACTATGCCGGGTATTAACACTATGTCTTTTCTTGCCTTATAAACTGGAAGTTCATTAATTGACTTACATATCTGTTGTGAATGATTTTCTCAAAGTCTGAGAGGTACTCAACTACCTTTAACATTCATGATATGCCAATTATCTAGTATACCGCCCCTTTTTATCCTTGCTCCCAAAAAGTGAATGAAAGAAAGGATTGTTTTAATTGTTTTTCGTTCCTATGGAATAATTGCCTATTCTTTCTTTCTATATTAGTAAACCAATAAATACAAAGGGGCTTATCACTGTAGTGTCTTTTTGTAGGCTTTTGAATAAACAGCTCTGTTTTCTAGTGTCTGTTCAAAAGTTATGGAAAAACTAGGACCCTCAACACCTGAAAAGATGGTAATTAGCTATAGGGTCTTTATTGATGTTAGTTCCAACAAAAAATAGTGTCTACTTCCATCCCTTCTAGTAAGCATTTCTCTTGAAAATCTACACGGAAGCATTAAGCAGATAGCTGAATGTGATCCTCTGCTTGGACAGTGTGGAAAGGAGGGAAGGTGTTCTAAACAAAGCTATTTTTGACTTAATATCATAATAGATATAATATGATGTTGAAATTGCTCTTGCCATCCATCTTGATACCTCATGTAATGTTTAACCTGAGAAACTGGAAAATTAGTATCTTCTGATGGATTTTATCAGATGATCTTTCTGGTTCAAATGTCCGGCTATTGCCATATCACTATTCTGTAGAATCAGCCCGTTGTTACCTTGATGTTGTGGTTTTGTACCTGCTGACACTATTTGAATGTAGTAACTGATTGTGCATATTTGTTGTTGCAGCAAGGTATTTAGTTGATGCTTGCTTGGAGGCCCTACGTTTGTCTATCGAGGTCATTAGTGGTGAAGGTTTTGAATCTTTAAAATATAGTTGACATAAATTGTTTTGAGCTGCGTGGAGTTACATTTTTTGGTATTTTTGTTTATCATGTACTCTGAAATACCATCGTTTGAACATCTGATTAGATGTCTAATTTTATTCTTGGAGTTTCATTTTGTTCTTTTTGCTCTTAAATCTTTGACAACTTTGATATGAACCAACTATCTCGCAAATCATATGCCTGGTAATATTTCTGTTGTATCTCACAAATCATATGCCTGGTAATACTTCTGTAATTATTCCAACACATCCCAAGTACACAGCTATTTTTTACCAGATGCGTTTGATAAGCCAAAAGGGTGCATCTGTTTTAAGTTCCAATCTGGATTGCAGATGGACCGGTGGTGTCTAAGAACAACACTTAGATATGCATTTTGTGCTCATGGTGATGTTGTTGTCTATAGTTTTTTTTTGCCAGGACTAGTTTGCCATGCTACTTCTTTTTTCCTTTGAGCTGAGTGTCTATTGGAAACAGTTTCTCTACCTCCTAATGTAGGAGTAAGGTTTGCATGCATTCTATTCGAATAAGTTCCAATCTGGATTGTAGCTGGACTGGTGGGGCCTAAGAACCACACTTAGATATGCATTTTGTGCCCATGGTGATGTTGTGTTGTCGGTAGGTTTTTTACCAAAACTTCTTTACCATGTTATTTCTTCTTTTCCTTTGAGCCGATGGTCTGTTGGAAACCGTCTCTATACCTCCCAACGTAGGAATAAGATTTGCATACATTTTATCCTCGTAGACACACTTGTGAGAGTGAATATACTGGTGGTGTTGTGCATACATAGATGAAAAGGAGATTGATGGTTGGTGTACTTGTATGTACATTTATAGGCAATGCTACTTTTGCAACGTTAGCATCTGTTTTATTATCTATACTAAAAGTAAGGAGGCAACAATAGAAGTACCATTTGTCTATTTACTACTAAAAATAAGAATGTGCAAGGGCTATTAGCTAGAAGAATTGTTAAGAAAATTGACTAGACATCTAAGGAGTGTTTGGTAGGGAGGAAATAGTTTTCTATTGGTTTTTAATTTTCTCATCTTTGATCAGTCAAAGAGTGTGTTATGACTCATGGCCGCTTGTCTAGTGGGGCAGCTCCTCTGTTTTGGGTAAACGTGAAACTCGACTCTACGAATCTGTGGCGTTAAGACGGAAGCTTTTTGTAGTGCTAGTAGGAATGCAAGTGAATGTGACTTATTTCCAAATAATTTTCTCCCCTTTATGGTTTATTTTATTTTATGAGAAACAAAAGAAATCTTATTTTCAAGTTTGGTTTATTTTCATTAAAATTAGATCTAGTTGTTTTTTTAATTTTCTTAAACTTTGTCGGAGATGAACGTTAATGGTTGATCAAGTTGTCTAATAAATCACTACTATTTTCCACACTATGTACCACTTTTTCTTTTTTATTCACAAAACATATTTTTCTTTGTTGACTAAGAAAATGCATGAAAATGACCTATTTTTTTTTTTATGATATTATATTTTTCCTTTCACAGGATTACTCTATTTATCACCTCTTTATAGAAGTATTTCTTTCCTTGACGATTGAAAAACATAAATAAATAATTTCACTTTAAAATTCGGACCTCAACATCCTATTGATCATGATATTTTACAATCAATATAGTTTGAGAAGATTTTATTTCTAATTTCAATATCTAAAAGAATATGAAAATTCAAGATTTTGAGAACTCTTAATCATATTTCGAGTTTGATTTGATATTTTTGAGGGGTTCAAATCTAGCTAAATACTAATATCTTGTACTATTTCTATGTTGTTTGCAAACAAGGTACAATAGAAAAATGAAAAGGAAGAGGGTCAAGAATACAAGGTCTCAAGTTCACATTTCAATAAAAACATTAGGTGATTTCTAGAATTAGTCGAGATACACAAATAAATATTATCCAAAAAGAAAAAAGAAATGCGAAAATGCCAACTAAAAATGAACCACTACCACAAAAGCCAGCAAGGATGTTAATTATTTATTAGTATACTTCAAAAAACCAAGATATTTATAAATATTAATAATTTGTCTACTTTGCTTTTTGTGTTAATTACGCATAATATTATTTTTAACAGTAAAATTCTCCCAGACACATGTAAGTTGGCCGGCTTGCACGAAAAATGCTCAAAAAACAAAAACATTGAATTTAATATTACAATTAGAATAATAAAGATACCTAATAAAAGTCAAACAAAGTGCCCCTTTTTATACATTCATATACAAGTCTACCAAAATGCCACTTTTATTATCACTAAAATTCCAATTTTAAACAAATGAAATCGGCCTTTTAGCAATCTCCTATAATTGGTCATTTCTTACTTTATATTAATTTCGTGAGAAAACTAAAATAAAAGACTTATATATTGGATTTATAGAGTATCATCCATAGATTCAAGAGTAGTTTATGGATAATATGTAAATATTTCTTTACTACCCCTTGTTACGAATGGAGGAGGCTAGGTTAACCTAAAGATTGTTGTTAGTCCTAAGTCCTAACGAATGGAGGAGGCTAGGTTAATCGAAAGATAGTTATTAATATAATTTAATAACTTATAATTAAATGTCAAATACGTATGTTAAAAATATTATTAATTATTTAATTATAACTCTAATACTATTAATACAACAACAACAACAAAAACCTCAATATAGTCTTAGAAATAAAGACTATTTCTGAAAGACCGTCAGCTCGAGTAACGAACATTAAAGCATGTAAAATAACTATACAAAAATAAAGAAGATATAAAAAAGCAATAACATAACATACCAAAAATGAGCAACAATCATTACAAACTAACATAATAACTAAAGCACAATTATAAAAATTCATAAATTTTAAATTCTGAATTTATTTCAACGAGTCAATGTTTTAATTTTACTATCATCCTAGTCCCTATTTTTTTTTTAACTTCTCTTTCTTACCCCTACCCTTCCAAAAGAAAAAAGAAAAATTCAAAGAAACAAATAAAAGAATCCAACCAAAAATTGGACTCTTTTTATGTAAAATTAAAACAAATTAATTAATTTACTAAAAAAAGACTAATAGCACTACTCAAACACTTTCTTTCTCCCACGCGTTTACACCCCCCCCCC